CAACGGGCACATAAAAAGATACAAAGCGCTTTTTTTTTTTGGGCCATATTACAGCTGGTTTTGGCTCCATAGCCTCAATAGGAAATGCTTGAAAACGCACGTTAGCTGTATTTTCGCACGTTTGCTCACTAACATCATGGCAGAAGTTTGACTGCCTACAGGCTTTTTTAAAAGGACTAGGCATGCTTGTGGGCTTAGTGCAAACAGAGTTTGTCCAACTCCACACAAAACTTAGTGGCACATTCCCCTCCTGGCCCAATCAGTTGCAGGCAGGACATTCCCTGCCCCTTTGTGATGTGTAGCTGTAGAAGAGGCAACGCAGTGGCCACAGTTGGCTGGGTCGGGAAGGGGATATGCCATTGTCTGGGCCGGGAGGTGGATACACTAAGTTCATCGAGACATCCCTAAATAAAACATGATGTCACTGCTAAGTACATTTTATAACGGATGTTGGACATGCAAATTGCAGAATTAGGAGTGTGCATATGAATGGATTAACGCAAGATAATTAGACAGATCATAACTCACAGCTCTAATCTAGAGGTATTGTATCTCTATACAAGGGGTACTCTGCAGCCTCCTAATCTCACATCCTCCCGTCAGCCTGAAATAGCTAAAACGGAAAAGGCATCGCTGCTGGATTTCTTGTTATTTGATACTTCATACAGGAAGATATTATAGAACCAGACAAAAGTGGACCTGTACTCATTTATCCTTAAAACTGTGTGGGGACATGTGATGTGAATGATACAGCACCAACAGAAAATATTCAGCAGCCGCTCTTTTAATGAGGCCTCCTTTTTAACAACAGCTCTACCTATTCTTACACCTCACACCAAGGAAAATACCATCAATGTAATCCAGGATTAAGCAGCAGGACTGTACGGAGTATGCCTATAGCACACACACACACACGACAGTAGAACAGAGAGTGCACCAAGGCAGTGTTACATGTGCAGTAGTGCTCTGCTGCCTCTAATTAGGAATTAACGTATTTTTCCGCTTCATAAGACGCACTGTCACACACACGTTCAGTGGCTCCTGCAGGGTGATGTGGGTGGGTGTGGGTGGGTGGGTGTGTGTGTGTGAGCTGTCCCGTCCCGTTCTCTCCGCTGCAGCTAGCTCACAGACTGTCAGCGGTTTCTCCCTACAGGCTGTAATCGGCTGCAGCAATCTGTGTCAGAGGGACAGGCAGCCAGTTACAGAAACCTCCGACAGGCTGTGAGCTTCCTCCCCGTGCTGTCTACTCACCCCTCCGCCCTCCTGTCCGCACGATCGCTCTCCATTCCAGCAGCTGGCAGCAATAGCCAGCCTGTTATTGGCTCTTTTAAATAGCAGTAGCCAATAACAGGCTGGCTATTGCACCCGCCAACTGCCTGCTGTCAATCAATGGAGAACATCAAGTCCCTCCTCTGCTGATTGACAGCAGGCAGTAGCCAGCCTGTTATTGGCTATTGCAATTTGAAATATCCAATAGCAGGCTGGCTATTGCTTTTTACAACACCCCCCCCCCCCCCCCCCAAAAAAAATCCCATTCATCTCCATGGACCTGTTTACATCTGAGTGTTTTGTCGCTACAAGCAAAACACCGGTCACTGAAAGAAGTACATAGAGCTTTTTTTTTTTGGGCCATATTACAGCTGGTTTTGGCTCCATAGCCTCAATAGGAAATGCTTGAAAACGCACGTTAGCTGTATTTTCGCACGTTTGCTCACTAACATCATGGCAGAAGTTTGACTGCCTACAGGCTTTTTTAAAAGGACTAGGCATGCTTGTGGGCTTAGTGCAAACAGAGTTTGTCCAACTCCACACAAAACTTAGTGGCACATTCCCCTCCTGGCCCAATCAGTTGCAGGCAGGACATTCCCTGCCCCTTTGTGATGTGTAGCTGTAGAAGAGGCAACGCAGTGGCCACAGTTGGCTGGGTCGGGAAGGGGATATGCCATTGTCTGGGCCGGGAGGTGGATACACTAAGTTCATCGAGACATCCCTAAATAAAACATGATGTCACTGCTAAGTACATTTTATAACGGATGTTGGACATGCAAATTGCAGAATTAGGAGTGTGCATATGAATGGATTAACGCAAGATAATTAGACAGATCATAACTCACAGCTCTAATCTAGAGGTATTGTATCTCTATACAAGGGGTACTCTGCAGCCTCCTAATCTCACATCCTCCCGTCAGCCTGAAATAGCTAAAACGGAAAAGGCATCGCTGCTGGATTTCTTGTTATTTGATACTTCATACAGGAAGATATTATAGAACCAGACAAAAGTGGACCTGTACTCATTTATCCTTAAAACTGTGTGGGGACATGTGATGTGAATGATACAGCACCAACAGAAAATATTCAGCAGCCGCTCTTTTAATGAGGCCTCCTTTTTAACAACAGCTCTACCTATTCTTACACCTCACACCAAGGAAAATACCATCAATGTAATCCAGGATTAAGCAGCAGGACTGTACGGAGTATGCCTATAGCACACACACACACACGACAGTAGAACAGAGAGTGCACCAAGGCAGTGTTACATGTGCAGTAGTGCTCTGCTGCCTCTAATTAGGAATTAACGTATTTTTCCGCTTCATAAGACGCACTGTCACACACACGTTCAGTGGCTCCTGCAGGGTGATGTGGGTGGGTGTGGGTGGGTGGGTGTGTGTGTGTGAGCTGTCCCGTCCCGTTCTCTCCGCTGCAGCTAGCTCACAGACTGTCAGCGGTTTCTCCCTACAGGCTGTAATCGGCTGCAGCAATCTGTGTCAGAGGGACAGGCAGCCAGTTACAGAAACCTCCGACAGGCTGTGAGCTTCCTCCCCGTGCTGTCTACTCACCCCTCCGCCCTCCTGTCCGCACGATCGCTCTCCATTCCAGCAGCTGGCAGCAATAGCCAGCCTGTTATTGGCTCTTTTAAATAGCAGTAGCCAATAACAGGCTGGCTATTGCACCCGCCAACTGCCTGCTGTCAATCAATGGAGAACATCAAGTCCCTCCTCTGCTGATTGACAGCAGGCAGTAGCCAGCCTGTTATTGGCTATTGCAATTTGAAATATCCAATAGCAGGCTGGCTATTGCTCCCAGAAATAAAGTAAAAAAAAAAAAAAAAAAATAGTTTAACCTGTTGCAAAAAAACAGGCGAACGGCGGACTCGCATTCTCCAGACAGCATTTTTTTTTCTGCTCGCGCGCACGGGCAGAAAAAGCCCGTTCAATGCAAAGAGCCTTTACCGGCTGTTTCGCATACACACGATCTGAGGCTCTATAGCCTACCGATCGCGTGTATGTACTGGCTGAGTGAACCCCCCCTCCTCGAGTGCCGCCCCCACCACCTTCAATCCCGGGATCCGCTGCCCCATCTGTGGCCCGGGACTGGCTCAGGAGGGCGTCAAGAGGTAACATGGGAGGGAGGTCAGCATCTTCCTCCTTGCTGACCTCCATCCGTGCTGTGAATGCAGAAGTGATGTGTATTACATCACTTCCGCATTCATCTTTCAGTCATCTGGCTTCTATGGCCAGAGAGAAACTGATGAAGCAGATCTTTGCTTCATCAGCTTCTTTTGGGGTCCCAAGGTGACATTAGGGGTCCTAGAGACCGCTAATGTCTCCATAAAGAGGACCTGTCAGTGTGCCTTTGCTATTATATAGGGGGATTGTCATCCCCCTATGTAATAGCAATAACAATTAAGTGTAAAAAAACATAAAAAAAAAAAAAAGTAAAAACAAAGTGACAAAAAAGTTTATGTGAAAAGTTTCACATAAACCCCCCCATTTTTAAGTCCCCCACCCCCACATATAAACGTAAATACACGTTTGCGGAGCCAGCATGCGAAAATGACAATTGCGCTACACATATAACATATTGTCGGAGTGAAAGCAATCATTTTAGGGCCATCAATCACTGATAACACTGAACTGATGAGTGGTAAATAAATACCAAAAGAAAGCTCTATGTGTCCCCCAAAAAAATGGTATAAAATTTATTTCAGTGCAGCCTTGCATGACGGAATAAATGTCAGTCAAAGTACCGCAGCGCTGAATACTGAAAAATGACCTGGATGGGAAGGGGGTTTAACGCCGCGAAGTGGTTAAAAAAAAAACCCCAGTCCCCCCCCCCTGCGAACACACGCATTTAAAAAAAAAAAAAAAAAAAAAAA